GTATACCGTGCACCTTATATTATACTCGTAGATATTTATTTTATAAACCGACGCGCATATCATTAAAATACACCGCCGCCGCTGCAGAGAGATCCGGACGTCGAAAGACTATTATATATTTCGCAATATATTATGGTTTTGCCCAAACTTAATTACTCATCATGTTATTTATAACGAAAGTATTTTCAACCAACCATAAATCCTATTAAAAAAAAACATTTTTCGGTTAAATTATAAAATACGTTATGAATTATTACTATTTCGAGATGATGATAGGTTAAATTATGCATTTTTCATAAAAAAAATTTAATCCGTTTCGTGTTAGTTTTCCCAGTTCCATTATTAAAATATAAATATTGTTTGCTTTTTATTAGCAAGTGGCTTTTTCTGCACCAACTTATCGTCGAATTTTAAAACTCGCCGCGAGTCAACAATTAGATGGACGCATCTACACAGAAAAATTTTATTATTTCCTCAAGACGATAAAAATCTTGAATGAAAAAACTATTTAATTCGTGCTATAAAGCAGTTATATACGTACGATACGATAATGTCATTTTTTTTTCTTTATTATCTTATTTATATAATTTATTATTTAACTTTTATAATTAAAAACAAAATATACAAACCTTTTTGTTTTAAGATGCACCGAATAGAAATAATTCGTTTTTAACGACTTTTCGCTCTAGTTGTAATCGATATATAGTTATAATTGAATTAATTATCTTGAGGAAAACTCAAATAATGTTAAGACTGTTATCGAAATTGACAAATCCAAATCAAGTTTTATTAATCTATATAACATATTAGACAATGTATATAATATTATTTGAATGCATCAGTAAACATTTACACAATAATATAATAATATATTATAACCGCCATTTCGTTTTACACCATTATTGTTTTTTTTATTTTCATCTTAAGCTCCATTTCTTTTTTTTTACTACCAAGTGATCCATCATGAAAATTTTCATAAATATAAAAAAATACCTAATAGTATTTTTGTTGTCTCGTGGTCAATAGATAAAATTATACTTATGTGCAACGCCCTATTTTTAAAACTAAACATATTTTTTATTTATTCTACTATAGATCTAAAACCATTTTTTTCTTGCATAATAGTATGCTTTTTATACCCCGTCAATTCGATTAATGCACTCTGTAAATTTATTATAAATATCGATATTTTTGCATTTAATTTATCACTATAGAATCTCTTAACACCACGTGCACATGTCTTTTAACTTATACCTTAAAATGTTGCAACTCTCTGTACTTATTATTAATCTAATTTATTCAATTTGTATATTCTATTCTTCCACTAAGAATTATTCTAACCGTTACTTTTTTTTCTTTCTATTTTAATATTATAATATAAATATACTTTCCGTCTTGATTGTAATATAGTTGCTGTTTTTTGTTAATTGGGCTTGACCTGTTGAAATAAATAAATAAATAAATAAATAAATATTATTACACTGTCTTATACAGTTATACCTATGCTGCAGTATAATATAGTATAATAAAATCGTATGATTGTTTTTCGTACCTTATCTTTATTTCCCCCCCCCTCCCTCACCCATATTTACAAAGTGTCGATAGTCGAGAAGTAGCTATCTACTTGATACACGTGAAAATAAAAATATATCTCGTTCTATCCGAAAACTGCGGAGTTTAACAACGGCGGTCGACGATAATATTATATTACTATTATGTGTCACTAACAGCGTTTTTGATTCCTCGTATCTCTAAAGCCTTGTACCTCAGGTTCGGTTACATAACCATGGTATATAAATATCGCTTATATATGTATTTATATATATATATCGTATATAGGTATTTTAATTTTTAAGGTCAACATTATTACACCCGACGTGTTTTCGCGTCCGTCGAAAGGTCTATTATTTTACAGAGTCGGTTCATATATATATATATACCGCGAATGCTCCTCGTTTTACATATTCTTCACACGCGAGTCAAGCATATATACTCATCCCTTATACGCTCGTTAGGCACACACACACGCAAACACGCATACTCCATATGGGTCGCACTAGCAGCCGTTTGTATAAATAATAATATATTATCCGTTTTGTTGTATTATGCGTCGTACGTCATATATATACGAAGTGTGCAGGGACAGAATATACCCTGTGATGTGTGGGCTCTTTGTACACATATATAAGTGTACGTCGGTGTATGACAACACACATATTGTATTACCACTGACTGTAGAATAAATTCATTATACTGATTTTCTGCAAATATATGCGTTAAATTCGACGCTGTTTCTGACCAAACGATGATGGCCACTGGGTGGGGGGGGGTCTCTTCGAAACTGTACGTATAGACACGAATAGTTTTGAGTGAAAGGTTTTTCTATTATATATGGGCATAGCCGCGTGTTGTTTCCCCCTAAAAAATGTTCGCGTTTCCTTTTCCCGCATCATCAATACACAGGCCGTAGCCGTCTCCACCAAATCACAATATTGACCGATCCCCACACGAAGTGAAGATTTGTGAAAAATTATGAATCTGGTTTTTGAAAATCGAAATCTTCAATATTATAAAAACTTACTTTGTCACTTGAAAAGATTGTTTCTCTATCAATAACCCAGGGAAAAAATTTTCATCAGTTAGAAAACCTAAAAAATACCAAAAAAAGTTAAAATTTAAAAATGATATAACAGTCATTTTACTCAAAAAAGGATATAAGAGATAGAGATACAGTCCCCTATACAAACATTATTGCTGTTTTTCAAATCAAAAATATAATACCCAATTATTTTTAAAATTTTATAATTTGGATTCTCCTATATCAAGGATGGGCAACTGGCAGCCAGCCAGCTTTTTTATCTGGCTCGAGCTACATTTTCAAATTATATCTCACAATTTTAAAGTTTATAGTCTATATTGTATAATCTATTTAACATCAATTAAAATGTATATTTTGAATAACATTTTTTTTTGCTTTCTATGCTCTGGCCCGCTAGATTTTAATTTTCTAAAAATTGGTCCTCTAGTAACTTTGAGTTGTCCATCCCTGTCCTATAGGAACAAATGTAATTGTTGAAACACAGCACGTAATTTGGTTTTTTTTTAATTTTATAGTTTGGATTCTCCCATAGGAACAAATATAATTGTTGAAACACATCACATAATTTGGTTTTTCTTTCGGCCTAGTGTAATAAAGATTCACAAAATTGATAAAAAAAATGTCTTTAGAAATTATACTTTATACTACCTAATGAAAAAATATTCAGTGAATTTTAAAAATTCAATATTGTAATATGCTTTCTAATAATTGGTTGGTCGTTACTTAAATTCTGCATATTACTGCTTTTTATGGTATTATTGTATTAACTTTTTACAATTAATTTTCATAATCATTCAGTTGAGTTGTATGTATAAATATCAATTTCCCCTTTCAAACATTAAAAGTTTAATACCTTAGTGAATTTTTTTTTAGATGACAATTCCATAACAAGCTTTATCACACCAAAAACTGTACCTAAACTTTTTAAATATGATATGTTTTAAAATTTGGGAATACTCACAATAGTGACTGTATTGGTATACAGTCGAGTCTCGATAAATCGAACCTCAAAGGGAATAAAAATAAATTTTTACTTAACTGTTTTTCAAACACAATTTTATTGGTTAAAATATACTTTTTTAATTTTTTTAAGGTATGATAACCGTACATGTACCTTATATAAAATGGTAGGTACATATTATTATTTTTGAGCTGTTGATGCAAATTGACTTCTAAGCAGAGATACTATAATTACTAAACGCAATTAAAGGATAAACTATTTCAAGAAATGTTATAACCTAAAATAGGGCCTGCATGTCTTAGTGTTACAAACTAAATATTGGGTAAATTTTGAATTATTTTCCGTGTTTCGGCAAACAAACACGAATTTACACGAACTGTACAAGAATCTGTTAATTATCGATTGAATGCGTTGTCTTTGGTCTTTGAATTTTACTTCTGAGCGATATACCACGAATTCATCTTGAATAAATTTGGGCAGAGTTTGGACCAGAATTCCAATGAATAGTGAACCGCATGGAACCGCGAAACACGAATACGCTTACCTACTTATACAGTAGGTAGGTAGCTGGTATACTACCAATAAAAGGTGGTATAGAAATTTTGGTGAAACGCGTATCGCCCTTTATAATATTATATATAATGAGAATAAGATGGATGGACACGAATGGATGACTACGTCCTGACGTCCTGTCAAGACCCGCCAAATCTTGTCCCCCAAAAATGCGTTAAGCTTTTTTTTAAATTTTAGCTCCACCAAGCACTGTTTATACCGAAAACGAAAAAATCGAACTATACCAATTACCGCGAGTATACCGTATGTAGTATTGCGCGTTTGGCCCACAATCGCAATGTGGAGAAGCAGTCATCACTCATCAGGTGTTTGGATACTATACATTTTTCTTTAACGCGGAATTCAATATTTTTCATTTTTTTTTTTTCAAGCTGACAATGAAAAACGAACCAAAGACTTGTGTCTATAATACCACCCATAGGTGTAAATTGTGAGGCTAGGCCCCCTTCCAAATATTTCCTAAATTTCTATTGAGCATATTCGACATTATTGTAGTAAAGGGCTTCAGTCTACGATACCACCTATCCTGCGTAATGTAGATAACACCTCTCCTTATACACATGCAACAGCGATTATTCGTCTTAATCAAATTTCGATAGAGTAATTAATAAACCGCAGACCCCACCCGTATATTGTATTATGCACAGCGAACTAGGTACATTATTAATAATATATTTATTTAGTAAAATATTACTATATAACACTATATGAACGCAAAATATTGTACACATTTTAATTATTTTAACAACCTATGTTAACACTGTATTAATATGATATTATATTATTATACTAACACTACCGTATTTTGTTGTGTGCGCTTTTCTCCTCTCCTCCTCCGCCGCCGTCGATTTCTTATCCTCTGTTCAGCGACAACGAGCTCATGGAAGACCCGTTTACCATGTACGCCGCGAAACCGTCGTCGATATCCAAAAGACCGACTTACGGCAACCCGCCGGCCGTCCCCTACGACGCCACCAGGTACAACAACAACATCAACAACAACAATAATGATGTCACGTATATTATATTATAATGATTGGGGCTGTGTGTTTGTATGCATTATTTTTAACACACCGTGAAACATATAGTGCCTATAATATAGCTTCTTCAAACTCAAAGTTTGAATTAGGTACCATTATGAATTCAATTTTAAAAATATTCTTTTGTTACATTTTGCATTTTTTATATTTTTAATTTATTGCGTTTTTGTTTTTTTTGCCCTTTTTAGGTTACTTTTTCATTTTTTATTACGGTTTTCGAAAGCATTTTTATAATTTTCGCAAAATTAAAACTTTTTCATACATTTATGAATTCTTTTTTCATTTTCGTCTAATAATTATATTTTACACTTTCTGAACGCCGCACTTAATCAATATTATCTTTCATTAAATTTTTTTTTACATTATATGAATATTTACAATATATTTTAAATTATACCATTCTAGCGCAATTTATACTGAATTTTTTGACATTTTAACTGCACTCTGTTAATCCACAGCCCTAAATTTTTTTATAATATAATATTATATAGTGTTGTTTGTACATTCACGTTTCATAAAACGTTTTGTACTTCGCATCGGTAGCCTGTTAGAATATTAATCGTTTTTCTCACGGTTAATCGTGTATTGTTGTTTTCGTTTGGTTTTTTTCCTTGCAGTTTAATATCATATTTTGTATGTACCCATAGTCTATACCTTATTATTATATGTGTGCGTTTTTATTTATTTACATTTAATTATTTCGTAGTTTGGTTAGTTACATTGTACGTTGTGTATATAGACTTGTTTGTGTGTTTTCCTCCATTGTTTTATTTTTTCAAACTCTAAACATAATAATAATGTAACTCTTACTATCGTTATTATTATTATTTGTATAAAACACTGTCGTGTCCGATACTGCTTTATTAGTGTAACAGTGTGCGTATTTATATACGAACTGCTCGAGTTTAAAATACATATAATTGTACATAGATATTATCAGACGCTCTCCCACTGTCTGCAACAGACGTATTCTTCTTCTATACAACGAGGAGCCATAGTTATAATCCTCTGGGTGCAATTAGTCTACTAACTGGCCAAATAATTAGTATACAATATATTTTGTTATTATAATAGGTATTAACCAGACGAGCGAAATAAATTCTGGCTAAAATAAAAACCAGCACTGCTCCAGCTAACAATAATAATAAAGATAATTATTTGGTAGATATCTTATACGAGTTCTGTTCTCGCCCTTTATATTGTAAAACAATAGTATATTATGATAATTTATATTTTGCACATTAATTAGGGCGACTTAGCTGCAGGTTCCTAGGTATGTACATTGTATACAAGCTGTAACGAAATAAAGTGACACGTTTGATTAGCCAACTGTTGTAGGTATAACAATCCTAATAACTTCTGTTATTAATGTTTAATTTTTTTTATATATGCACGATCCTTAAAGATTATACAATTTTCAATTCAAAAAATAAAAAAATAATTTTAATTTTAATTATTAGATACTTACATAGCTAATCATGATGCATAATCTGTCAATTCTTTCTGAGACGCTCTGCGTATATACATTATACAGTTTAGACCTGACGAATAAAAAACAAAATTGATACTAGTTAAACGTATGACATAAATATTATGGACATTTACTGGCAATAATAATAATTTAAGAAACATACTTATGCCAGGAAATTTTCGAAAAAAGTTATAACTTTTCATATTAATTCCAATAAAAATAAACTACTTAGACTAAAGGCAGATCAATATTCAAAATCGACCTTTTCTAAGGAGTTCAATATAGGCAATTTTCTGTGAGTGTCTAGTGCAGGTAAATGTGTGCGTAATAACTAATAACTATTAAGTGATCATTAAAGTGAGTCCACGTATGTCAATGACGCAGCACTTTACTCACTAATTACGAATGTGAATTTTAGCGAAACACTGAAACTTAGTTTCGTATTTCCAATAATATAGTAATATGAGTGACATTATGGTAAGAACACTTATCATAAACATTGAGGAGAATAAGTTTATCTATGCCTATATATGAGTCGATTTTCGATATTTTAGTTTTAATGTCCAATATTTAGATCTAAGACTTGTGATATTTTACTTTTTGAATTTGAATTATTTTGAGTTAAGTGATAATTAAAATATCAAAAATTTACTTTTATACAGGCCCAGATCTGAGAGAGAAAATCTCTTCTGAAATATTGATAATAGATGTTTTTACTCTCAGCCCGCTCAATAAACCGTATTTACGGAAATACAAAAATTAATTTTCATATAATTTTTCAACACTATTCATACCCCTTAAATAAACGTGTAGAGTATCAAAATGTACTTAAAAACTAGATTTACGAAATGGCTACTTAGAGTTTTTCCAAAAAAAAAAGGTAATAATATGAAAAAAAATTTATTTTCGATACTAAATATATTGATTAGAACAAAAGTTATTTCATTCATCTCAGATCTTTCTGTTGTACACTGCATATGAATAAATAAATAAGTCGCCCGAAACTAAAACTATCACATCATCGATGGTATTATAACATTATTATATTTATAATAATATGCTTAACTACTACCAGACACACTGCAGATAAATGGCAAAATATATTATTATTTCTTCGCTGAGATTCATCCTCGTCAAGTGAACTGTTTTCGTTTCCTATGACTTTATTGTGAATTTTCAAATTCCGTTAAGTGGTACTCAAAAAATAACAATATTATGCGGAAGGTAGTTATGTATTTATCAGTCCAATTCCTATAACGGTATAACCTAATTATATTATATGATCACATAAATTATTATAATAATAAGTAGGAGCTTTAATAAAAATTGTACTCGTCAAACATCCCAAAGACTACTTACATGCATTTATAAAAAAAAAGGTACCTCAATAAATATTTATGTCATAAGATATTTGAAAACAAGTATTTACAAACTCGTTTATAGGACTTAATAGGTACGATCTATAGTTCATCCTTAAGTAATATTGTACTATATATCATATTATTGTATGTTATTATAATATTTTTTATTTATTGATTATTATTATTTATTACCATAGACCAGAGGTAGGTTTATCAAAGGCCAAAAAATACTTTTTTTTTATGTAGGTACTTGATGTAATTATGTTTTAAATTTTTTTTTTTTGTCAATTACCTACTATAGAACATAGTAGAAGAGGTACCCATTATAAATATTTTCAAATGGTTTCTGAAAATTGTTTTTAAATATTTGATGTCAGCTTATTGATCTCTTAATACCTATAAATAGAGGCACACATCCCTATAATTCCAACTACATCAGCCATATTACGCATGTTTCCTACAATTACCTATTTTTTTTTTTTTTTTAGTGTTTTCAGAATCGTAATAATATTTAGTTTTTTTTTATTACTATAATTATTATTATTATTTACTGTTATAATTTACTGTTATGCACGACTGGAAATATAGCCGAATAAAATCGTGTTTAATAATACATCAACTGTTAATGATTTTGCAGGATACGAGTGGAAAACATGGAGAGACAGATCGCTAATCTAACGGGATTAGTTCAGAAAGCTTTAACTCACGCACCGGTCGTGGCACCACCGTTCAGAAATGGTAAATATCTGATTTTTATACACCAATGAATCAATGTATAAAAAGTATATAAACCGATTATTTCAACGCCCTGTATAGTTTTTAATATCCTTGTTTTCGGCAATTAGCTGAATTTTTACTTTATCATTTTTTGTACATTCATATTTCATTTTTCTATAGACAACTATTTTCATGTAGGCATTGAAGCACCCACTCCAAAAGTCGTATATACCTACCTACACATATTATGATACATATATACCCCATTTGTATAAGTACACACACTTCACACATCATGTATACACGGTAATTCACAAAGCATGTACATGCCCTTTGATAGTAAAATCATGTATTCAAATTCTATTTTTTTTGCAATTTTTACTTACCTCTAAGCCTAAAGACAATATTTTTAAACATCAAATTTTTTTTTTTATCGGACACGAGATGTGTTGTCTATGGCAACACACACTTTTTTCAAACGAGAGCCACCTTGTTTTACTGTGAGTTAACAACTAACTTAATCTAACAAGTTATTTTTAGAAAATGCCGATGTATATAAATTGTATATATTAAAACTACCTAGGCAATAGTTTCTGAGTTATAAAAACTTTGAAAACTATTAAGGCACTGAATTTATTATATGAGAGCTATGAAAAACCATTAGCATGGGCTGTATAATTATTTTCCTTAGTAGGTACTTAAAGTTTAATAATAACACTGAGAAACTACTCGTTTTTGAATTTCGATTTAGATACATCAACATTTTAGAAAAAATCATCTGATTACTGATTTGCAGTAAAAAATGTGGTTTTTGAGAAGGTTTTATCGCTCGTCTCGTATATGAGTATAATATCACTCATACTAATGGCAATCGTTTAAATGGTTTACAAAATCGAAGTATTTGAAAATATGGTCTTTATAAGTCAGTCAAAAATTTCAAACATCAGAATTTGAATATGAATTACATTATAAAATATAGTATAAGGGGATGAGCTTGCTCGGTGAATCACTCTGTAAATAATATATATAGGTATTTGTGTATATTATACGATTAATACATCCGCACTCATATTCTAACCATACATTGCTACTATTACCTCAAACCCGTTCATATCATCTGTTTTATATAACATCTTTACAATAATATTATCCATATTTTATTACTAATATCTGTCTGCAGTTAATACTATATTATTATTACTATTATTATTATTATTATTATTATTATTATGTAGGTACTACCTATACCTTATATTCACATATTTACTTTGACCGTGTTGACACGATTTTGCTTGGTTTTTGACGTTTTAATACCCGTTTTCTAACACTTATCTTTTTTTTCATTATTACGATTCAGCTAGTGATGAATTCGATAAAGTCTCCGGCGGAAGCACCACATCTCTAGCAGGTACGTTGTCTATTTTCTAACCCTTCTGTATACGATATTATTGCAGTTCTCTAACACTGGTAGTGGTATATACTAATACTATATTATATACATAGATCCTAGTATCCTACGACGGCTTCTCAGAGCCCTATTATAATAATACTATTCTTGTTTTACCTATGACCTATTAAACTATCTATTACCTATAACTCTTTTTTTTCTACCTTTAAAAAAATGACATAATAAAAAAACAATCCTTCCTATATACGCGAGAACGATGCCCAACAAACTTCGCCACCGTGTAAATGTCTATGCTATGTTGTACACTGTTATATAAGACGTTATAACCCATAATATTTTAGAATATATTCTTATCCGAGTATGATATGTATGCTTTGTAGAGGAACCATACAAGCGGTCTGACACTAAACCTCCTAAACTCGGACGAGGTTAGCTATACACAATTTTTATTATTTTTATATAATATATATATTATAATAATAATTTAACGCTAATGCATAAAGTAGGTATATATAATAATGTATTATAATTTATAGTACACTGTTTTTGTTTATTTGTATACCTACTAGTATTCGTATTTTATTTTGAAATTTTCACTATCTGCTTATATTGACAGCCTTTCGGCTGGTTTGTAATATTGTATTTGCTTTCTACCCTATATCGAATGTCTTGGGCTTGTGTAAATATTTTATCACCTCTTACCTATCCCGCATCATCCATTTACTAATTCAATTTGAATCTCGCGCGTTGAAAATACGACGCACAACACTCAAAAGGTAAGGTAATATTTTACGGCTTTCCGATGTTTTCTTGTTTTTGGCGAATAACTGCAAAGTGAATTAGTATATTTTTAGGTCGAACTATATTTTAAGAGCTTGTGCGTTATATATTGTTTGAACGACTTGATAAACTTATATAGTTTTTTTTTCTTTTTAAAATTTCAGTAGGAGATAGTCTTGAGACGACTCTCCGTCGCGTCTCTTAACCATCAAAAGTATAGTGCTTCTAAGAAACAAACGAATACGCTATATATATATATATATATAATAAAATAACATTATATTATATTATTTTTGGAGCTGAGAGTTATATTATATAATATCAATTGCTTTGCCAAATTTGCGATGATGTAATGATAATCGTTATGAATTATTATGTATAATTGAATATTTTTGTTGCGCTTATTGACATTTTATATACTATAGTTTACAGTTTTTATAACGAACAATTATTGATATTGTTATTATGATTATTATTATTACTATTATTACTATACTTAACCTTATAGCGAACAACTTTGTATAACCATTAACACGTTAAATGTACTATATTAACTTTGCAGACAAATCGGTTTCGTTCGAGAAATCTGTATCGTTCAGCGACGAGCCACCGGACATGAACTCGCCGAAACAACATTCGCCACAGAGTTCAGGTAGGTCAATAATTTAGATTTTTCTATCGATCACACGGTACACGTTCAAGACCGTTTCCCTTCGCGAACACATTGCATATTATAATATGTATATATACAGGGTGTACATCGAGAAGATCTGATAGTCTTACACTGAAATCACGTAGGTTGACTTGTGTCAGATCTCTGCAATTTACTCTGTATATATATATAATATATATATACATAATAATATCATGCATAAACATTATTTCTGACAGACGTATTAGAGAGACGAATATACTCGTGCATCCTCCTTTCCCCCACATGCACACAAGTATTATAATATATAATATTGTAATATTAATTTTAATCATGTATATAATATTACAATATATGTTACCGGTAATGTGAATGTCTATCTGGTATTATGATAATATATGTTCGATGACTGTGCGTGTTCATAATTTTTGTGTATACCAAATAATAATAATAAATTGATCACGTTCGCGAGGAATTTAATATTATATCAGGTATAGGTAGGTATGTTAATGATGAATGATGACGAACGCAAGCCAATTCGTGTTCACTTTAATAGAAATAAGACGATCGATTCTCCGGCTCTGAATATTTGATGCACTTTCGTCGATCTGAACAGGTTAATTATTATATTTACAATTACGCTAAAGCCAGAGTACCTATAGGCTATATGTACCTATAGTAGTGACACGATAATAATTACTAATTAAATTCAGACTTGGAAATCAGAATTCGTTCAGGTCGTCTAAATTATTTATTTCCAACAGTCATATCGTTATTATTTGGCGGGCAACCGGAATTCAGAATACCTAATAATATAATGACTAGACAATAAAATTTTTACTTTGGGATGAACTGTGATTGAAACAACGCTGTAATTGGCAGAGTGATGACTTGTAGTGCCTACCTGTTCTAATTTTAATAGTTTGTAGCCACTTTATTACTAAAATATAATAATATGTTTTTATTTTGAAAATCAAAATACATTTTTGTCGTTGATGGCCGTGAAATTAGATTATTGTATTTCTATATAAAAAAATNTATCAATGGCTACATAGTATTAGTCAATAATGACAATGACTGGTCAATCATAGAAATTATGTATTAATATTAAATTTGTTCTATGATTGTCTATCTTAGTTAGGTATTCTCTAAAAAGACTAGCCAATAATATCAATACCTATGTAAAACAGTCAGTGTTAACATAGACTAGTCATTTTTAACAATACCTAATTATCATCATTGGCGGTAACATATACAATACACATAAAGCCGACCAGATACGTTTTTTAATTTAATTTCATCGAAAAACTGTAGTAATAATTACCATAAATCATAACCTAATACTCATCGGGTATTTCATTGTTATCTGTTAATGCAAGTGTGACGGTCGAGTGTTAAAACTGCATTATAGTTTAACGAGTGTAGAACAGTGGTCAGTGATAGCTGCTTAATTGGCTTATATACATAACTACATAAGAGTGTGAACAAGAGCTCCATAATTTCTGTGGTAATTCTTTTCGTATAACTCGTAATAATTATACCTTATATCGCTCTGACTGAGTCTCACTCTTAACATTACAGAGACGATCGTATCCAACATTTTACTAAACAATTATTTCTATTTTATGTTTCACCAGATATCATACTTGTCAACTAAAACATTTTAAATCACCCTTTCTATTAATTAATTTAAAATTTATAAAATTCCCCAATATTGAACAAATAATTATTATAGTAAAATCAATAGTCAATCACATTACCTGTAACACATATACATTATACACATAATATATCAGCTAATTTTATTAAGGATTTTTTTTTATATATTCATAATAAGACTATACTATTATTACAATCATTAAATAATAACGAAAGCACAGTGTCGACTATATAATATTATTGTTTTGTGTTATGTTGTTGTATTCCGTTGCTTACCTTATAGCGGACACGAAACCTGCGAAACCGGCAATTAAATCGTCTACATTACCTAGAACAGCGTCTCAAGGTAAACATTAAAAAAAAAAATTACACATTTATTCACATGTCACGGGAGAGATGAAAATCAATTAACCGGACATTTCGTTCACTGCGCTTTGCTGCACACATATACTGCGCATACGTATTTTATACTTCAAATTATTCACACTTCACACACACACACACACACACACACATAGTTATCTGAAATTATTACAACTTGCACAATTTATTATGTTATTATTTAGGGTCGTCACCTCGGAAAAATCGCCCCTCTCTTTCGATTTTGAATGGAACGACAGACCGCGCACAATATTTTGATTTTATAGTAATAATATGTCTGTTATGTGCACATTTATTTCGGTTGGCACTTTTTTGAGTACAAAAGCGCTTAATGGTTTTCGTTCGAAGCCATTTTTTTTAAATTCTTGAACACAGTCTGATAATTTTAAAAGATTTATTTATAATTTCCAGCTGTTTAATTTTCCATTTTCAATCGTTGTAATATTTCAATTTCAACAATGTACCTATCGAATTGCTTTCAAATAACAATATATAAATAGAAACCTGTCCTCCGAGGATATAAAAAATGTTTCTCTGACCCTATGATCTTTTCGTCTTATTTTGGTGTGGAGGCTCGAGTGTGTCGTTGTAATTCCATTTCTTTATGACCAACACTGTTGGTCCAACATATTAGGTACCTGGCTCGTATTTAATCTGTAGGTGTACACAGACCAATCGATTTCAGGTGTAGCAAGATATAATTTCGTATTCCATTTCCTACTATTTATAAATAAATAAGTTTACCCGAAACGCCACGTTGCTCTATTTTATTAGTTTCAACGTGAAATCATAATATCAATCGATTTATAAGAAAATATTAAGTTATGTTTAGGACAATATTATTGATAATAATTAATTATATGACGTTATAACACTTAAATATAAACTAATTAACAAATATTGAATAATGATACTAAAAACATACAATAGGTATATTATAATAGTTTATTTTCTGTAAGTCACTTTGATATGTTTTTCATTATTTTTACTAGTAACACTAAACCGGCCAGTCTTGTTCCGTTTTTTTGTAGCAAACAACAATACTATTATAGCTATAGAACGCTAATAATTATTTTGGCCAAACGCAGCAGGAACATTTTAATTTTGAGACTTTTACTTTATTGTTGTACTATTTTTCGAGATCTTTACTGACCAGTATTGGTCATATTTTGTTTCAACTAGTACACAAAATTACAGTTTTCATCTTTGTCGACTATCACTCGCGTACAACCTTTCTTGTAATTTTGTCGTCACTTTTTTTTTCATTGAAACTTACAAAAATCTAAATCTGTATACTCTGACTCTGCAGACTGACGAGTCAACAACACTCGTCAGTTTATGTCATTTTAATTGTACATTTTAACTGTATTTCGCAATAATCTTGGAAATATTCAGCTATGTTATTATATAGTGCATATTTATAAGCGTGCTGTAGAACCAATCCTTGGCTAAACTCTCCTCTAAAATGTACATCAATCATCGCATAATTTTTTTTTTTTAATGCCAAAGCAGTGTTTGCTTTGCGGTCGGCAAATAACCAGAACGTAGAATACAATATCACATCGTATGCACTAATAATTCAATATTCATTACGTATTCACACTAAGATATTCCAATAATAACATTCTTAGCTCATACATAATGTAGTTTGACATATAATTATATTATATTATGTGTGTCTATAATATTACCAGGGACCACAACTTGGGTACTTATTTTTATGTACCGTTCAATAAAAAAATATTGCGTGATTTCCGAATATTTTCTAGTCGAGCAGAAAATAAGATTGCAGTAATGAAAACACAGAGGAAAGTAAATAACAAACTCAAAACTGAGACGTTTATAAGTAATGGATTTCATGAACATAAAAAATAATATGGCGGAGAAATCCTACCGGCCGGCAAGAACAATGATGATTATATCTTTCAAACAATAAAATATTTTTTTCTTGTTGCTATTGATTTTTTGGGTTTTTTCTTTATAAAAAATTTAATACGTCTTCGTCTTTTAAGATTTCCGAGATGAAAAAATAAAACTACAATCACTTAAATCGTTGTTGTCTGTACTAAAACGCCGTAAACTATGTTCTTAAAAATACATTAAAATTAAATGTAGGTAGGTAGGTACTAAATAATAACGTTTCGTTTTTACCTAGTTTTCTAAAATACGCTTTTAAGTTACAGAAAATATTAAATAGGTACCCATGTCCTGTTTGTAGATTGGTATGTTTCAACGAAAATGTTTAATCGTTTAAATAGAACCCTTTTGATCTGATTTCCGCCAAAAAAAAAAAACTGAAATGTATTTGTATCTCCAAAATCTCATTATTTGCTTTCGTTTCGGTTTTTTGAGTGACTTGATTCGATTTTGTTACTCGAAACGCCCGAATTGCTGGATGCGATGCAAATACGTTGACATATTTTAAATAGAATTAAATTTTATTTTTCTTAACAAATAGCAACAAACATAAATAAACATTTTTTACGCAGTCGTCATTATATCGACACAACTGCGTGAAACGTTTTGTGAAAACGTTTCAACTTACTTGTACATTTACCCGTAGATACTCTTTAGTCATCGTCATTTTGACGGTGTCGAGACTTCGAGAGGTTATCGTTTTAGAAAACTAGTAATAAACTTGTATTTATTATTATTATATTTTATTTTATATTCTCATTACCGTGTAATTCCATTGCGTCCATATTCGTCTACCTACCGGTTTTTTTTCTAATTACATGTTGTGATTGATTTTTAGAAAAAGACAGATTTAAGCCCCATCCTCCGCCCAAGCCGTCCGCTATACCCGGACAATATGACGACAGACACTTGTACAGCGGTAAGTCCATATTGGTCAATATAATATATTATATATTAGCGATCCGATAAAAGTGTATAAGCTCGTGATCGATGAATAACTGTTGTTGTCGTTCGATCATTTCAGATCTACAGCTGACGCCAGAAATGTACAATCAACTGAGAGTTCTGCAGAAAAAAGCAAAAGACTTGCGGCAAGAAGCCCGAAACCTGAGGAGAATGTCTCAGGCACAGGCCCACTCCATTCGTGAAACCATCAAAGACACGTTCATAAAAATCAGGTACATTTCTCTCGTTGTTTGATATTATAATTCATAATCTATGAGCGAATATCTGGGAATTTAAATTTACATGTTCTGCGTACCCAAACACCGCGAAGTACCGAGTGATCCGTTTGACGGAAGTACAAGACACTCGTTTTTCAGAAAACACTTTCAACGTTTTTGATAATATTTCTTTACATAGTTACTGTGAGTCGTCACCAGTTTTTTTTTTTATTTTGTTTAATGACAACACATATTTTTAATTTCATATCCCGAAACTGAATAATATATTAATCGGAATATAACTTAAATACTTGAGATAGCTCAGCATAAGCTACTTGTACAAAATGTAATTAATTATGTATCGAAGTGTAATACGAAAGTCATTCTGCTCCGGGATAAGGACTTAAAAATTCACGTTGTCATTAAAAAGTAAAAAAAAAAAAACATAATATAATTTTAACCTATTATTCCTGCATTTTAAGAAAACGTTATATTTTTAACGACTTAAAATTATGTAAAAAAAATATTTTCAAAAACTATTATGTGTCTGGCGTTAAACGGATCATTCGGTACATAAAATGTATGATAATTTTAAACACGCATATAATATAATTATTCGAACAGAAAATATATCCCCGAGCTGCTTATAATATGGATGCTATCTTTCGAAAACGTTACAATATGGCGTTTTCGGGCAGTCGCGGTCGTGTGTTACAATAATAACATATTGTCCAACGATATCGCGATGCTGACGCACTCGCTGCATTATAATATTAGTGTATCGAATTCAGCAATTTATTATTATTTTTTCAACGTTTATCATTTGTACATCATATTAAATCATAATGTCCGTTAGTGAAAATAATGTTTTTCGATGAAAAAAAAAATGCGAAAACGGTCACGAAATACTCGCGGGTTTAATCGCTCGTAATAATATTAGGTAAAAAGACGCTTGTATAATGTTACGACGAACGATTAGCGAACTCGTGAAGATTTTTGTCGACCGCCGCGTGCGCTCAACATATATATTATATACCTAGGTATATTAAATTAATATACCTACGTATTCGATCGTGCTGAATATAACGTTGTGTTGTATACATATATATATATATATTATTATCTAGAACGTTGATCGCTTCCGGCGCCGACCAGGCGTGGAGCGAATCTGGATCGAAGGAAAGGGCACACGTGGACCGGGAAGAGGACATATACAGACAGGAGATTATCAGGCTGGAAACGGACTTGACGTAAGTGACAATAATAATTTAACGACGACGACGACGACGATATGAACGTTTGACAAAAAATAGTATCGCCTTGCGTAACGCCCGGCGACACCGCGTACATATAACATTAATGTTATTGTTATTATGTTCATATACAGAGTGATTCACCGAGCATTCTCGCTTCCTTTTTTTCCCTTCGACTAGTTATACGCTATTATTTGAAGTCTGGTTTTTGGAATTTTTTAATCTACTTATAGATTTATTATAGACCATATTTTCAAATTATTGAGATGTTTTGTACTGCTTGAGTTGTAGCAGTGTCCTGTGGAGATACAAGCTTCTGTTTGTAAAATGAGAACCTTTCTTTTCGGCTGTAAATTATTCAGTGGATAATTTTACTCAACAATTTAACGAATCAGAATTAAAATTCGTACGAGTAGTTTTTCAGCTATTCAACTTTGTGTTCCAAGTTCAATGAGGCTTTGGGCTTATAAGATATAATGGGGATTGGGGGCCATGGTAATTTGATAATTTTAGTCATTTATATTAGTTATCAACATTAACAATTTGTTGAAATGCCCCATGTATAATAAACACTAGTTCCAATATTACGTCTTTATTATATTTTTGTACAACTTTTTTCAAAGACTATTATTATCCTTATAGTACAGACATTAAAATAACTAAGACACACTACTCAATCCAATTTTGAATTAAGTATACATAAACAAAACTTTCGAAGAAATTAGTAACTAAATAATTTACAATAAAAAAGGAGGGTTCTCATTTAAAATCCAGAAGTTTGAACAGACTGAGCACACTCATACATACAAAAAAATTCAAGAATTTGAACATAAGGTCTTTGAGTATAATTTATGTTTGAAATCAGATTTTGAATGAATTTATTATTAATGGGAAAAATGGGACTAAGCTTGGTGAATTTCCCTGTATATGCCTGAATAGATACAGTATATTATATCGGGTGATACATTTAACGTGAGACACACATTCACTATTTCAAAAAATTACTAACATTTTTATTACATAATTTTAAATTGTTAGAACATTTTTACAATTTTTTTAAAAATGTCAAATGACGACACGTGATTTTAATTTCTCATTCCAAAGCAGAATTTTTATTCGTGTACTTCGATATTTTATAAAAAATCTAATTTTGGAAGAGTAGTTTATGAATTACAAGACGTATTTAAAAGCTTTAAATACTTATAACTTATAATATTTCTAAACTACTAGTCCTAAATCGGCTAAATCTGTCGTTTATAAATCGAAATATTCCAAATAATATTCTGCTTCAAATAAATGTTTTTTCTAAAAAAAAACATTTTCTATAACGTTCCCAAACCAATTTTTTCTAAAGTAAGTATACCTATGATGAGTGTTACGTTAAATGAATCACCCCGTATATTGTTACATTAAGCGATGCTCGTCGTCGGAAAACGAAAAGATAATAAACAAACAACAGTTAACGATTCATACGATAACGCAATTTTTTCACACCGCAGCGACTTATTACAGTCGCAATGTTATAATATTATATCGTCTGAAAATCTCCCGTTAACAGTTTGCTAACATAATTTTAATAATTTTGCACATGCACATAGAGTAATAATGTATGTACTTACAATAATGACTAAACTGTGCGCACTCCGTTCACGCGGAAGTACCTTAATATTGTTGTTTTCCCGCCGGAAATCCCGAAAATTATCATATTATAAATACCAACTACTGAACTAGTCGTATGGTTAGACTTGCGTGCCGCGCACGTCTCATTATGCATACAGTGTGATTCATTTTTTCGCACAGCAATCGATATTCCTGAACTTTAAGAATAGTTATTAGCGATAACCTCATCGCTATCCGAACTGCGATTAAAAAAAAAATCGCTCAGTGGTATACGGCCACAACTATAAGTACCTATATATACCGCGGTATAAATGTGACAGAAAGATGATGTGTATTCTAACGATGAAATTTAAATTAGTACCTATAGTTCTAAAATCGTTTTTCGTGTTTTCTAACATATAGAATCATTATGATACATATATATTATATATACAGGGTGATTCACCAGACACCACACCCCCTTTTTCTTCATCAATTAAGTCATTATGTATATTATTAATTATACTGATTATAATATTTTTTCTGTATCGAAATAAAAATTCAAAAGAGTAGTTTTTGAGTAATGTATTGAAAATTTTTAATCATGTGCCTACATAAAACATTTTTTTTAAATTATACACCAAAAAATTTACAGTAAAAAAGAAGTAAAAAATTGTATCGCGACGGGACACTTCAGTAGTACAATAAATCTCAAGAATTCGAAAATTTGGTCGGAGTACATTTCAAAAATCAGGATAAATTTATGGCGTTGAATGAAAAAATGGGAGAGAGCATGCTCGGTCACAATCGCCCGGTATATTATTATTTTGAATGACGTTATTACGATGCTCCTATATTTGATCTCAAATGGCTTAGTCTTTTTACCTCATATACCGCGGCACCTACTTATATTTGTTAGCAGCCGTGTATAGCAACAATAGCATTAATAACTATTATATAACAGTTCTCGGCGCAAATAATAAATAGCAGGTCCACGCTGCGGGACTGTATAATTATCATGTGTGTGTGTGTTCATAATAAGTCTATAATTCGGCAATGGATCGAACGTGTTCGGAATGTATCATTTTCGGCTGCCGAATATTCCTCTAATGGACCTAACCTAACCTTGTTGTTTTTCCGGTTGTGTTGGCGCAGGGAGCTCGAGAGCACGGTGGAAGAACTACGGGGAAACGTCATTAACAAGAAGTCCAGGGTAAACATGTCGGACGTGGAAAACATGGCGCTTGTGCTCAGCAAATCCAGGTACAATATTATCCAAAATGTATATCACGGCCGACACGAGTATTTCGTATCGAAACCGAAATCATTACGACGTCTCGTTTTCCTTCAACCCCAATCAACCCCCTCCCCCAAACATAGCCTGCATCCAACCCTTCGGCGAATCCCGCTCGCAACATATTATTATAGAAACCTAATGCGAACACTAATTCATTTTTCCTCTTTTTCACCCCTCCCCAACACATACAGGCAAATTGCTTTTCGACGCAATTTCGTCTGAACGTCAATTTTCTACTATATATAGATCTGCACACTATTTACCACGATACGAGATACAAGATAGTAAATCAGTTATATAAACATACCTAGCGGGTGATCCATTTAACGCAAGATGCTTATTGTTTCAAAAACTATTAGTGTATTTTTTTTACTCAATTCTAAGTCATTAAAAAACAACATTTTTCTAAAAAAAAATAATTTTTACTACTTTCTGTTCATTTATTATTTCAAATTTTTAACTTAGTTCAATGACAACGTGCATTATTAATTCCTTATTCTAAAGCAAAATATTTTTTTGGAGTAATTTTATGTATACAAATCAATAGTAGTTTATGAGTATTATACCTAAGTAGTAAGTTGTAAGTCCATAACCAATAAACTAATGTACTGATGTGCGAAATGTGATTGTTTTGGATCGAAATACTCCCAATGGTATTCTGCTTTGGAATATGAAATTAATAATGTATAGTAGTTAAAAAACTTAAAAAACGATAACAACGACAACAGAAATGTTGTTTCGTAACAATGCTCAAACTATTGTGTAAAAGAAAATATATTTTAAAAAACGTTAGTATGTTTTTGCGTAGGAATTGATCACCCCGTATATACAATTTATTATCGTTTATAATTGAAATCGGTTTTCTTATTTATACGTTATTCCAGTAAAACGGTTGCCGAATTGAAATTGAGGTTCCCGAGTTTACAAGAGTCGATTCGTACAGTATTGACGAAGGAAATGGACAGAGCGGTTACCGAGGAAAAGTAATTGACTGATACAATATTAATAATGTGTACCTTATGGAATAATGCAAGTTTCCGTCTTCTGCTATGTATGTACATATAGGTTTCTCAAAGAAGAGCCCGATCGTCTAGAAAGCGCTCTCAAACGGTGTAAAAAATTAACCGGAACGCTTGTAACACTCAAGAGGTAAATCATTGTCGTAATGGTAATGCATAAAATGCATATAACATTATTGTACATAATATAATAAGTATTGATTAATGATTACTTCTTAAATAAATACTAAACATATTCTGATAAAATATGTGTATCGTCAGAATTATTATTGTGTTAATAATAATTATTATAACTGTTTAACATATTAATATTATATTAAATTATATTACAACTCAGACTATCGTGACATAATGCCTACGGTAGCATTTTATTCAAAATAAGGCCGTCCACCCACTGACCGGTAATATTATTATCGTACAATAGCTTCGGAGAAAATTCAATTTTTTTTTCGACACACCTGCGTACATAAATTTGACGGTGATAACCGTATACATTTAACACGATTTTAAATTTTTCGATTTAGGCTTACTTTTTTAATCAACCATCACATTGATATGCATGGTGATTCACCAAGCATGTTTGGCACCCCTTTTTCTTTAATAATGCGGTTCTCCAATATCTAATTTTTTGAACCATTAAATATACTTTTCAAATATGATCAAATCTTCAAATTCTTACACTTATGGAATGTCGAGGTGTTCTGTATGGAAAATAGAAATCATACAGTTGAAAACCATTCGACAACATTTCTGGAAAAATTTAATTTGTACATATACGTAGGCCTAGGTACCTCACATGATGGTTTTTGTGTAATATTAATAATATAATATGTCATTCTAACGGACGCTGTACTGATGTTGTTTTGCAGGCTCGCTTCCGTTCAGGAACAACGTCTGCCGGACGCCAGACTGTCGCCCACCAACGAAGACACTCCGCCGATCACGCCTACATCTTCGGCCAAGGTATTACATCGGTGACACTGTTTCTATATAAACGACAAGTGTCGAATTTATTTTTCGATTTTTTCTTTGGCTAGGCTGGACAAAAAAAAAAAATAATAACTACATTATTATATTACGTATCGTTCTGTCGAGGAGGGTCCTCTATTGTCATAATAATTATATTATTATATAGTTTTCATATTCGTATTTTCAACCCGCAAGTTTTGCCGGACTTGCGGAGTTTTACAGAAACATATATAGCTTTGTTCTTTTTTTTTTATTATTATTATTCAATAATTTATTGTTTTAGTTAAACTTGCTTTTTACGAAAACTTAGTTATTATTTATTTTACCAACGTGTGTATAACTAAACATATTATATATTATTATTATTATAATGCATTTCCAATGTGTTTTAACGTTTATTTTGCATTTTACATTTTCGTAACGTAATTATTATTATTATTATACTATATTATAATATATATACATCGTATATATACATACATACGCAATATGCATTATCGTAAATGATTATTATATTTTATATATATATATATATCGCGGGACATGTTTTACCAATAGAATTTTTTTAATAATTACATAAAAAACAACCCCAAAAAAAAGCTTTATAGAAATTAATTTTTGTTTTTTATTTTTTGTGTTTTAAATCGGCTACCAGTTTGGTTGGCGTTGGAGTGCAAACTTCAAGGATGCGATTACTAGCCACGAGTAAATTTTTTGTTATTTCATTGTTTTATACAAGTCCAAAAATCTTCGAATCGTTGTATTTTTATGCTTATGAATTGATGTAATACTTTTTTACTTTCATCTGCTTGACTCATTTTCATGTTCATCCGAGTTTTATTACTATATATTTATTGATTTCACGTTTTTTATCATATTATTATATTTTATTGTTTGGTTCATTTATTATTACGTATTATTATCCCATTTTTTATTCATCAACATATTATTATTATTATTATTATTATTATTATTATCTCCGTTAAATGTTTTGGTTTTATTTTGTTTTTAGCTCGTATTTATATACTGACGGTGCATGCTCCACTCGCTAGATATTTTTTTATATTGCAATACACGACCGTGGTTCAGGTAAACGGTTCAGTGTGACAATATTTCGTTGTTAATATTATTGTGGTTTTATTTTTCTATATATTTTCTAATCTATTATATGTCGACATATATATAAATATTGTTTCAACCCGTCCTCTATTTTTATATTATGTTATATTATAACAATAATAATATAATATCTTGGCACCCGCAAAGAGTATTTTTTATTCTCATATTCTATCTAGATAATAATATATTATAATACCTACCCGATGACTTGTTTGCATGGATTTTTTTAGACGAAATTTTTATTACGTACACTGAATACTGAAATGCCAGAACGTCGTATAATAATTAATATTTTTTTTTTTTTTAATTTTCTTCTATCACAGTTTATAGTTTTTGTTTTTATCTGGTCTCGTTCGCACAGATGACACAGACTCACATAATATTATACGAATTAAGCGCCAAGGAAACATACATGATATTGTTCTTTATTTTTTTTTGAAAATTTTTTTATCTTTTTCATTACCCTCACACCGTACGACATATTATTATAATGATATTTTTTAATATCGTTTTAACTATCGTACAAAGAGAAGTTAATTTCACATTGGAAATGTTTTTTTTTTTTTGTAAATATATTGTTTTTTTTTCTAATACCTTGTTTAACTGTAGTGCTTTTAATTAAATACAACAACAGCAAATGTATATAAGTCGGTCCTACGCGATAATAATATTATATTATGAATATTATTATTGTTATTATTAATATTATTATTATTATTATTATTGTTATGTATTGTACACCACTTATATAAAATGACTCCCTGTATTTTTCTTGCCTTTATAAAACTACACTTGAATTTGCAACTTTTTGTTTTACTTGTTCTACACAAACGTCATTTTGTTTGTTGTTGTTTTTTTTGTAATTATTATTTAGTTTGCGTGTGTTTTTTGTTTTTTTTTTTAATATAGTGTGTGAATAATACCTGCACAGATAATGTAGATTGTGAGCAAGTATTGTAATGTATAGTTTGCCGCGGACGTCCATTGCAAATTATAACTCGCAGTGTTTCGGATCAAATAGACTTTGGTAAATACCGGATTAATTTTTGTTTCTCTATAATCATGGTATACAATGTGATTTCACAGAATACTAACAAACAATTAAATTTACTAACCCGAAACGTTTTAACCATCATCGTAGAAATAAAATCACGGTACCAAAATCAATTTTACAATATAATATTTTATTTCTCGACGATAATATTATAATATAATGTTATTCATATAGTGGCGTGTTTATGGGGGGTGATCTGAGTGGTATATTACACACCCACCCCCATAGTATTTTTTCTTTTATTTTTTTATTCGATGTCGTCGATTTTTTTTCCGAAATCAACCCCCAGAATTAAAGGCACCACTGTGCTAATACTTAATAAATTGAAACCTATTAATAAACGTGAGGACACGGTCGCCATATGATATTGGTTCAATCACTTCATTTGGACTTTGCTCCTACAACGTTATGCTCACTATCATCGATTTTATAGTTAATACTATTTATTATGAAATCAATTTCACTCATGATCGTTACTAAAAAAAAATTTCGGAAGGGTCCTACATATTTTTAACACTTTATTTGGATACTGGACATTTATTGTTTTCACGTTCAAAATTCAAAAACTCTTGTTCTCCTTTTAAAAATTTCTGCCCCCTCGCCCTCCGGATACTTCCTTGACGGCACTATAATTTCGTACGACTAAAATATTATCTCGATTCTTTATTATATATTACCAAGTCTAAATCAAATCTAACTATATTATAATATTGCAATCCGTGTTTGGCTTACACTAATATACTTACCTATACTCTGTTGCGTAGTAGATTAAATATTGTAACTGTTGGCTGCTGCATGCTTGCGCACTTCGGTGGTCGTGACGTCATACAGATCCACTATAAATGCATAATTAGACGATAAAAAACACTTAGGCGGACGAATATTTAACAGTGTACAAAACCACGGTAGTTTATGATTCGCGAATACGGGTTTAAAGGCCGTTTTAGGCTGGAGGAATGATGAACGCTTCAGACGAACATAATATTATAATATTTTTCACCTCGATCACGTGATTTTGAAGTAATCGGTTCTAATATTGTCAAAAAAATAAACAAATATTGAAATAACTGTCGGGACAAAAAAAACCTTCGAAAGACTTCCAAAAACACTGTTGATTGGACGTCCGTTCGGAAAATTGTTTTATATCCTTTCTTGCGTTCAACATAGTAACATTATTTTCTTAGACATACCCGTAGCATCCAGGCTACTCTTGCGCCGCACACACGCTGATAATAATGCTTATTTTGTACTGCTGCACAGACGTAATTAATATTTAAATTACATAGCTTGGACGTAGATTATATATTATGTTTGCGCACAATGTTATATTGTATATGATATAATATTATATTATAAGGATTTGGTGTGATGGCTGTCTTTCAATCGTTTAGAGAAAAAGTGATTGGGCTTGCGCGTATAATATTAATAATATTTTGACGACGACCTATACCCACCTCGTGTCACGACTGCAGGCGCATAACAAAAATAATTATTATTATTAATATTATTCGTATACTCACTCGGATTTCTATTAAAACATTAATAACTATTAGCCCTTCTAAGCGGTGCGTTAATAAACAATTTAATTCCGTGCACCTCCCGAGATATGCTTACCGCGAGTAAACTTGTTACCGGTTAATTATATAATATTATATAGGTTCGTACGTTGGTTATAGGTACCTGCTTGAAGTCGTTCGATGATGGTTTTCATTTAAAATGTAATTTCCTATCAAGTCCACTTATGAGTAGGCGTGCGATCTCTGCAACTATACAATTTAGCGTTCGTCAACGAAATAAACAAATAGCAGGTTATAAAATACACTATACCTACTCTTGAAACGACAGGACTAAGATTTGAATATCCTCTTAAAAACTCTAAAAAAAAACTTTCTATAAAAATTCCCCAGAATTGACCCCAGATTTCTTTACAAATCAATATCGATTTGTCAATCGTTCTATTTAAAAACCAGATTACCTTTTGTTCTCTAAGTACAATACCTAAATGTATGAATAAGTTGGATATTTTTTTTTTCATTTAAAATTTCTAGAAATAGGTTAAAATGAACTTCCGCTTCAAAAATCTCGGAAAATCCCCCAAAAATAGTTTGTTGCCAGCACCTAGTCAAGAATCCCAGAAAAAAAAAATACAAACGTATCGACATCCGAGCCCTACTAATAAATGTATACGAAATAGGTATTAAAAGTGATCTCCATCAGCCGTTTCGGAGCCAAACGAAGTATAAAAATATATCCTCTCTTATATAATAATTTTTTTAATCATTGTTATATTCCTATAACGTAAGAAACCCAATTTTATGCATTTATGTATAACGTTATTATTATATATACGTTCGCTTAAATGAACTGTTTCCCGCAGTGTATACGCTGGAGATGATTATTATGACCTTAATTGTAATCAATTATGCATACACGAACGAAATTTTGTTTAAAAAAAATATTTAGTTAAAGCTTACATCCAACGCGTTGTGTACATAACTTCCCGTAATTAACAAAAAAAGTCTCTTTCGCACATCGTTTTAGATCTTCCTCTCGTGCAGGCGCAGGCGCGTCTAGCCATAATATAATACTAATAATACGTGTTTAATGCAATTTATCGTGATGAATATATTCTGCAACAACAATAGAGACAATGTATACCAATTATAATAATAGCATAATACGTATGTTGTTCCCGAACTGTTATTATGGGTGCGTTTATCGCCACTATTATTTTAATTAATTTAATTAAGCAAAAAAAAAACTGCCCGTCTTCTATATATTTAAGACCGCGACTACATATCATTATTCATTATGTTTTCTATTGACGAAGCGAACAATCGTAGGTTATAGGCTAGGACGGAGAGAATAATCGAAAATAACTACCTATATTATGGCGTGTGTGATTACATTTTTCGACAAATAATATCATGCGTTAAATAACAAAAACCTCAAAATCCGATTTCTCGAACCAAATTGATAATTCGTAATCGATAATGATTAAGACAAAATATTAATACACTACAAGTGAAAAAGTTTTCTTCCGTAATACATTAAATGAGTCCAAACCGTGAATAAACAATCGACCCATACAGTTATTATTTCGCTGGAAAAACGTTAAACTACCCGACTTTTTTTTCATTTTAAAATATTCTTTTGAGCCTAAGTATAGTACCTTATATTATATTGTAAAATACTTTTTTTTTTTAATCGCTTAAACCTACAGACAATATTTTTCACACGATTCCTAAGGTTGATAAAGACTTCATTATTTACCTACCCACCTGCTTATATACTCTATAATAAAATTGAGACTGTAAACAAATTTATTTTGCAACATAATAATAATAATCTATATACGTTTTACCTACTAATACCAGATTTGACTATAATATAGAGCTTATAGGCAGCGGAAGAGGATTACAATAAATTAAATTTAAAAAAATAAAACGATTAAAACGTAGACGCGATATCCATCACTTTAAAAAAAAACACTATCCGCGGATGCCTCCGGCTCGTTTCGGGACGAAAAATCGTTATCTTAAAGACCCGAATAAATAATTATTCCAACGAAACGTTTATGAACATTGCTAGTACGATTTATGTTGTTTGGACCTGCGCACTATTTATTAGATTTCGAATAATATATTATATTTCTGGACCACTCCGAGAGACATATTAAAATGAAATAAACATAATTTATTACAATATTCGTTCGCGTGAAAGCGTTGGTACGTGTAGGTATCGTCTTTAGAAGACTGCTACACGTTTATGCCGCGGGACGATAAATGCGATGGATGTTCAACGATTTTGTCCAATGGTTTTAATGACTTCGAATAATAATAATATGATTACACCGAGCACGTTAACGTACAGAGTTTAAGAAAACCAAACTAAAAGCCGACACAATTGTTAAGAGTTGAGAGTAATTTCTAATTTTAATTGAAAGACAGTCACTTGCGCTTCCCACGACGAATTGAATCGGTCGGATATTATAGAAAAAAAAACCATATAACTCGTGATCACCGCACGACCACGTGTCAAAACGTAAAGAGTACGCCAGGTCGATCTAAATATTTATATATTTATTTGTCCATGGAAATGTCGTTTTCGTTAACCATCGCATTGGACATAAACCCGCGGTCTTAACTCATATTATGGTGGTAACAGTCGGTTACCGAATGATCTATATATAGATAAGCCGGCGTCCTCTTTACGAAACGACCTATATCAGCAAGATCCTGATATGCGTCGTAATATTATATTACCTATCGTATTTAATTATTACCTTCCATATTATAATATTATATTATTTTAATAATAAGAGGATGTCAGCCCACTGTTTGTTTTTTCTCTCTCTCTCTGGCCAGTGCGCAACGTATATGGACAAGACACGTACGCGAAAAAAAAACAAATATTCCGTTATATTTATGCGATTAATCTAGGGGTAAATGATCCATTGCAAACATTATAGATTACAATTTTTTTTCGATTTTGTGACATTGATTTTTCCAAACATTGTCTGAAAACAATGAAAATATTAATTTAAATTTACAAAAATAAATTCCTATTTTATAAGTCAAATATTATTTAATAAAATTTAAAGTATACATGTTGTACCCTCAAAAATATTGCCCTCTGCAATGTTTTAACAGCTGATTTAATTTTAAAGGATTCTCAACAATTTACGATTTAACTCCGGATTTGTTGTGTCCATGTGCGTGAAGGTCTGAGAGATAAAACAAAAATTGCACTGACATCCTCATAATAAAGTTTACGTGTGAAAAAGTACATTGCGGTCATCTGAGCGTTATTAAAATGGTTTTTCGTGTGATTTTCACAGGGGAGTGTCGCTGGACAGGGGAGTGTCGTGGAGCAGACCGGAACAGGAACAGACGACGGCAGCGGTAGTGCTGGAAAGCGCGAGCCAGCAGGTGCGGAGAACGCACTCGACACTCTGCTAGACGAACTGCAGACAACCCCGGCGGTGGCATCAGTAGCATCAGTGGCGGCACCGGCTGCAGCGGCTGTGGTGGTGGATTCAGTGGTGGTGGAGCCAGCAGCGGCGGTGGAAGCAACAGAGGTCACCGCGCCGGTCACCGTGCCGGTCACCGGTCCGGCGGTCGCTGTCGCGGTCACCCCGAAACCGGTATTGCGACGTCTGAGCAGCACGTCTTCGGAGGCAGGTGGCAAGCCGCCCGTACCTGAACGGACGCCCGACCTGCAGAACAAGCGCATGCCCCCGCCGCCACCGCCGCGGACCAGTTCCAAGTCACCGGTGGCGTCGCCGACCACGGCGGGCAGCGCTGTGGGGGCCCCCACGTCGTCTCCCAGGGGCTCGGTGTCATCGTCGTCGGCCGGCGGCAGCCCTCCAAGCCGAAAAGGGTCTCTGACAACCGTGGCGCTCAGCGGCTGCGGCAAACCGCCCATGCCCGAACCACCGGCGGCGACCGTGCAGCAGCTGCCATCCCCGGCCGTTCCGACAGCCGTCGTGACAACCACCAGACAGGAACAGTTGGAACAGCGGCACCAGGAACTGTTGAAGAAGCAAAAGGCGCTGCAGGAACAGTACACGCGGCTGCAGCAGTTGCAACGGTCGCAGCCGCCGCCCGACCTGCTCCAGCTCAAGAAGACGGGCAGCGAGGGCAACCTGCTGCTAAAGATGGGGCTGTCCATGAGTGCCGCCGCCCCCATATCGGGTTCGCTCACCCAGCTGGCCGCCGCCGTCACCACTAGCACCACTGCCACAGCGGCCGACGACGACTCCGCCGAAAAGCAACGGTCGGCCGCAAACAACAAGGCCGCTGCTGCGACAACGACGACGACGACGACGACGACCGTCAGCAAAGTGTACGAGACGGACATTATATGACCCACGACTGACGTCTGAAACGTGTAACGGCAAATCTATCATTGTGTGTGATGCAAATTGGAGCGCTTCGGTTGTGTATTATTTTATTGTTGTTGTTGTTGTTGTTGTTGTTGTAATATAATATATATAATGCTGTTGTGGTAAACGCCGCCACTGCTGCCACTGCCGCCATACTGCTGCTACCATCGCCACTGCATCCACCGCCGTGCAGCCCCCGGATTTCCGGTTACCGTCGTCTCCACTATCTTTGACACTATTCCCGCCGTCTTCTCCGTCTTCGAGCCACCGTCTTTTTCTCTTTAGTAACAATATTATATTTACTCTAACGATTTTAAGTTTAAGTGTCGGGTAGTGGTAACGAGGTGACAATAATATTATATACCGCGACCATATTAAAATTATTTTCGAAAAAAGTGAACCGAGTCTTGGAAACCGTTTTCTCTTGACCTATTCAGATACGAATTCAACGACACGTTAAATAAAAACTATAAGACCTCTTTCAAAAAAAAAAATGTAACTGATAACGCACATGAACAAGACATCATCTTCTAGCTACTTTCAATTTTTGTTACTGCAGTGTAGATGACTTCTCACCTGACATTGGATAATACTGTGAATAATTATTATATATCTCTACTCGTGGTCTCCGACCATTGCTCAAACGGCCCATGACCCATTATCTATGGGGTGCGGAAATGAATGAAACAAAACGTAGGTAATATTATATACGTGAGTACCCCTCACTAATGCACCCCATGAAATTCGGAAATCTCATATGTACCTACCTACCTATTCCGAATAGGTACCTAAACATAAAAAACAGACGACCCCCCTCCTTCCACTTTTTGAGAGAGGATTGTCTCAAAATCGGAAACACGTTTAATGTGTTGGCTTTAGCGAGTCAGCTCATATGCTCAATAACCCTGTAAATATATTATAATAGTATTAATTATTATTATTTATCAATACGTTAATATAATAATAAGTACCAATATAAAATATTATTGTCATGAATATACCGTCTCTAGCCGACAAGAACCGCTGCGTTGTCATCCCGGTCGCTTTAAGTCGCAAAGACGAGAACTACAATTTTGAGATTTGTTGTTTTCGAGTTGGAATTATATTATATATTATTATATCATACATGACAGTCATCATAGCCGGAAGTCACGTCGCTCGCAAGCCTCCTCACTGTATTATATAGGAGGCGTTTTCGTAATATCCAATATTATTATATGCGGGTATACGCGAACCATATATATATATGTATAATGTTATCATTATGTGCTTAATCGCGATCTCTCTGCTGGACCACGAACGGGCGAACGAGGATTTAATTTAATTTCTATATCCTTTATATCACATTACTATATTATATTATAATTATTATTTATTCACTCCCCGCAAAGCGTGTTCGTATATGATTCTATTTAACATGACTATACGTGTGTACTAGTATATTGTATACCTATAATTATTATAATAACACGATCGACTCAACAAGTGGATGCGTGGGTGTTCATTTTAATTTTATTTTACGCATTTATTTTTTTTCGGTCGTGCCAAAAATCGTTCCTAAAATATTAATATTATTACAATTATTGTTGTTGTTGTCGTTAAGTGCCGCCAAAAGGAAATCTTCGAGTCGGAAACCACGCGTGTTGGAGTTATGAAAAATGTAATAATATACAATCGGGTGGCGATTAAAAATACCAGCAGATGCCCTCTACCAAATGTACCATCAATCGATCGTATACCGATTTCCCTTGACCGAATGTGCCAATTGCTAGAGTACGCTGAAGTAAATAACGCACCCGGCAAAAGGAAGGACATTTTACCAAAATTTTACTCTTGGAGGGGGGGGTGAGAAATAGGTATAGAAAAAGTAGTTACTGAGTGTAACTGCGTATAAGCCCCTTAAATTCACTCGTCCAACACATGATACAGGCGTACTTTGCTACATGTATTGACAACCCAACAAGCTCACTCGACTTATTTACCTCCTATACAACCGACGGACTGTCTGAGCATTCTGTCAAAAAATGCTACTTATAAAATAATTGCGATAAATAACGAATAAAATGCTCATCCAGCACCTATCCTCAGATCGCCGTTAAATATGAGATTGCAAATCCTGTTCGGGGGGGGGAGGCTACAACAAGCGCCCGCGGTTTACCTACTTAAAATATGTTGAAACTTTATTGTTGCAGGTTAGTGTTTTCGTTTATGATCAGTGATCACACGTCATTATATCGTATATAATAAATTCAAGTATTTAATAATAAAGCACCCGAATTTTCTATTAGCCAAAATCCAGGCCAATTTTTAACACTTGTTAATAGAACTTTAAACGTTTTTCGACATAACTTGGTCCTATACTATTAGTTCTGGCAACCACCTACTCGAGAGAGCAATTTTCACGATATAATACAAAAGCTTAAGTTAGGAAATGCGACGATTTGTTGCTCTCGTCTGGCTCACCCCACACACAGTGCGCACATTTAGTCGAAAAAATATCATTATACACTACCACTATTATTATATTAAACGCGTTTTTATATCGTTTGTATACTTTATTTAAATATTTGATCAATATCGATCACATAGCTCGAGCGTACAATAATTTTGGGCATTTCTTTGCAAAATTCTTCGCCTATATACCTATATGCGTTGCTCAACCTCGCGTTTGACACTCCACTTGCATGGCGATACATCGGAAATTCGGAATGCGGAATCCGATAATTTCTATAGGGTCGGAAAGCAAAAAACCTCAGGATGACGGTTTGCCCAGCAAAATTACGTATTTAGGTATATATTGTCTTGGGACGATATATATATATATGCAACAGCTGTTGTCGGTCGTTCGAAATGAAATTAATCATCAGGATGCCAGTATATATGACTAAGGAAGCCAACAAAAATGTATACCTGTCATCGTTTATTATAAATACTAGTACGTGGGCGCCCGCAGGGGGTGCTGGGTTGGGGGGAGGGACATGCCCTCCATATTTTAATTATTAATAATCGTTTTATCATTTGTAAAAACAAAAAAAAAATATGTGCTGTGTTATCAAAGATGGGGCAGCCCCCTTCCCCAGTTTATATTTCTGCGAACGCCTTAATTTATACTATAGTATTTATGATCAATGCTTTCAAGTTTCCCGTGTAACATATACTACTGACCGCCGGCTGACGACTTTTTAAAAGGTTTTTAGCAGACTGCAATTCCGTTTTAAATTATATCGTACTCATCACAATTTTATTCAATCACATTAATAATTCTAAAGTAGGTGTACCGATATCATCACATTATTTTGTAACGCGTGGTGGTATAAAACAAAATTCGATTTGTCTGGGTTGAGACGTTCTGAATTTTTGACATTACACACGCTCCTCGATTTGATTACACATAGATTATCGACGTATAGAGTTTATGCAGAATATGTTTGTACATGTATCGAAAAACAGAGAGAGAACGAGATGCTAATGATTAGTAATATTGTACATTTGTCATGAGAACGCGTACTTTCCGATAACAATCGCTACTCAGACGTATATACACTCTAAACAAAAAGCAAATTATGATTATTGTAAAAAGTTATTATTCCGGTTTCACACTACAGCCGAATTGTATTTTTGACATATTTAGGTGTATAGGACCTACGTAAAGGTGGCCAGTGCGGCACTAAAACGGCTGATTTTCAAAATCGATATTTAAATATTAACGAAAATGAACTGTTGAAATAATATTAGACTGAAGTGCATGACATGACATTAATTTATAAAAAAAATAATATTTCTTCGGGATGACACCTTCCTCGTATACCTTGGATCCGTTAAAGTTTGAAATTAACTGCGCCTGGTTATGTTTTTGAAACAATTATTCATTGAAAAATACGCATTACTTATCACTTTAGGTACGGGCGTGCTCATCAAATGGTGTATTGTTTTTAAACTAATAATGTTTAGTGAGCAGTATCAACGAGACATTAATCGAGAAAACCCTATTTTTGAGATCGGTCGTTTCACTGCACCGCCCTCTGCAAACTGTAATAATAACACGAATCACGATAGTAAGGAAGTCTAATAATTATTATCATACATGATCATTGCACGTCATAATTATACCAATATTTTACGAGTACACAGAGCAAATAATATCGTTACATTGACGATTTGTATATTCAGCACACACACACACACACACACACACACACACGTTAATATAAGTCATTATATATTATTATTATTATTATTATTATTATTAACTACATATTTTATATTACGATAATTATTAATGTACCTAACTTGATTTGTATTCATCTCGATTTATTTATTTTATAACTATTATTATTACCGGTGTATTATATTATTATATTATATGAATTACCTATATCTATACGTGTATTTATTATTGTATTTGGTCATTATGCGATTTTTTTTTATGCGTTATTATATACACATTATTATTATAATTAAAAACAAATAAATAACGAAACCATACAATCACTGTTTATGTGTACATTATTATTATTATAAGCATAATTACTACTTAAACATAAAATTATATTACCTATATTAATTTACTATTATTTACGAACGCGAAGATCGGCCTACCGGCCATTATATTATATGCAAATGACGAAGTTGTACGCCAACGCGGGTGTAACATATATACATATAAATTTATAATTATTTATTATTATTATTACTATTCTTAATAAAAATATCTACACGTTGTTTGAATTACACTGCGTTTTATGTTATGTATATTTGATTCAGTGTCGTCGCCCGAAGCGGGAGGGGGGGGGAAAGGAGAATGGAGGCAACTGAAGGAAGAAAACTCCCCAACATTTTTCTTTTGAACAATGGTGTCATAAAGTAACAGGATGAATGGATGATAAGTATTCAGTTCTATAATATCTATGGAAAAATAAGAATCCTCCCCATCACAAAAAAAATGCTGGCTACTGCAGAGGAGTAGATTTAATTGGGGAAACTCTATAAGGGGTCTGTTCACTCTAATTTTTATACTTATGGAGTTAAACGTGATCAGCTGAGCATTAAGTCATCTATGTGACACACTTGTAAGACGGAGACAACAAAATATGTCCGTGTAGCGTCCTCTTAAGAGGATGCTACCCACGCGTGTGTTGTCTCCGCGCTCCGTCTTACCGACTTACTACATAGAACATTTTCGTTCGGTAATTTGAATAGTGTGAGGTTAGTTTTGATATTACAGTAAATTTAAGAATTATCAAACTTTGAGGTAAGAACATTATCTATGATTATGCTTCGGCGGATTTTCGATACTTTCATTTTCAACCAAGATACGAGTATGTAAAATAACACAAATCAAAAATGCTCATATCTCGCTTGAAAATTAAAGTATCCAAAAATCTGCCGACTCTTAAGCACAGATAATGTTCTTACCTAAAACGTTGATAACTTTAATTCACTCTAATATCAAAGCTAACAGCACACTATTGAAACTAGTGAACGAAAATGTCGTAGGTACTTGTTGTAAGACGGAGACAAAAATACTTGGGTAGCGTCCTCTTAAGCATTATATAGCTAAGTTGAATAATATATGAACTCATATGATAGGGAGGAACCGAAGTAAAGAAAATATCAATATTTGTGAACTGACATATTTTTATAGACAGCTTGGACTTAATGGCTCATAGAAGAAAACTAGATTGAACAAGTTGTATATTATAGTATATTGCCATTTCTTATAACTCCTTACATAAAAAAATGTTTATCAACGATTAAAAAAATCATAAATACTACTTTGCTGACACTTGACACTAATATTTAATTATTTATTTATTTAATTCTGGTCCAATAGGAGGTATAGCACTTCTTCAGTATTCGGTACTAATAATTTAATAATTTGTCGATGAAGTTTGTAAATAAAATATGTACTTGGAAATCATATTAACCTACTAATAAAATGAAAATTGCCTTTAATGTGCAAATAATTACAAAATGTTAGATAAACATGCAACATGTTTTATAAAAATTGAAAGATTTTAGATACCTAACAATACATTAATCACAGCATATTGTTTAACTTGGATTAATCGTAACATTATACTGGAGCATTGCTCTAGAAATTAAATCAAATAACTTGTCTTGTAGTAATTAGTTGAGATCAAAGAAAAACTGTGGTTAGACACTATAAAAATGATATTACAAAATTGGAAGCTACTGCTTGTAATGTTTAAGTATTTAACTAATCCACATCTCTTATATTGGAGTGAAGTACTATCTGGAGAGGTGATGAATTTTCTCATGAACAAAGTATCACTTTTAGTTACCTATTTAAATGTATGACAAGTATTGGTAAATTTTTTCATTGGAAGAGGAGTATTTTAGACTTTTGACTTACTACAACTGATAGACATAATTAATGAAAGACAATACCTAATGATATTAAATGATTAGATACAATAATTTATTTTAGAAATTATATTTAATTATCACATAGACTTAGGCTAGTATATCTAGTAAAATACGTATTGCAATTATTATCTAAATAAAACAATATGGGTAGCTGAAATTGCTGTATGATAGATGTAGGTACAAGTACTCTTTTACTTGTGTAATAAATTATGTTAAGGTCTCTGTATGTAATTTACCTCTTTCATGGTTGAACCATTATTCGTAAGCCGATGCCTCGTGTATCAATAAGAAATATAATAATATAAATAATAGTATGTATTAATAATTAATACAAATTAATAAGAATACAGTTGGGGCTTGATGTGGCACGGTGATTGGCTGCAGTCCCTAATCTGTGTCAAGCATCGTCTGGCGTCGCTAGCTTCCGGATGGGTAACCACCTGGGTGTGTAGTGACGAATCCTAGCTCCACATACACACGTATTACTCGAACCCAACCATGACCCCTACAAAAAATGCTAATGGCCACAGACCACAGTTCCCGGTGCTTTAGAAAAAAAATCTAAATCGTTTACTTTAATTAGAGATTATAATAGAACCGTTAACAATTATAATTATTTAATGGTGTCGGTCATTGGTGGTGGAAGGGGGGAGAATATTATATCCAGATAATGCTTCAAGAATTCCAAACCAAAATTATTTAAATACGTCATTAAGTTGCTTCAAATCTAAACGTCTTCCTAGAATTTTTACAAAACATATGAAGCTTAAAAAATTAATAAAAAATGTTTGCTTTGAAAAAAAGTTTTACATGAATGTGTAGTCTCCAATAAATTGTTCAAGTGCGTCTTACAAGTATGAAACATATCAAATTTTAGTTGTGCAGTTATGTTATCATTAAGCTTCGTTGGTTCCAAATAATAATAATCACTCTAATATTAAAACTTTCATTGCTAAATAAGATCTAGGTACTGAATTTTATAAGCACTTGTTACACTGAGCTGACAAATGCTGATAAATTATTAACACTATAGGCACCTAGTTACATTAAAAATGTATATCCAATCATACTTTAAAGTTTAGGTTACAGTTAATGGGTTAACCTTAGATCATATTATACTATGATTGGACCCATTACTGGTAACTTGAAGCACATATAAGCGGCGACGAGTCTGTATCGCCTTTCACGTGTTATATTGTACGTTTCAAGTTATAATAATTAAAAGTTCAACTTGATAAGCGGACACTAAGATAGAAAACAAAATCATGATCTTTTTATTCGAAGTGTCCCAGTTAACCCATTATTAGGCGAGGAGGTGATTAAACCCAGCACCTCACACTGCTTCCCCCGCGCGACCGTACTATTACCTACAACAGAGGATTAAATAAGTAATAAGAATGTTAGTAAACTTATGGGCTATGGATAGTTGAAGCTATGGTGATGATAGTAAACTATTGGTATTGGTGGTATACTATCATTCCTGATCGTGTGCATTTCAATGATCTTTTCCTACTAACTACCAAGGTATTCTATATTGTATCTATAAACATAACAGTTAAAGAAAATATTGAAATATTACCTAGGGAAATTAGAGCCTAACTAATTATCATACATTTTAACACACAAAATATGTCAATATATAACCCTAAACAAAACGCCCGTCCACAAAAAATTTGAAAATCATCACCTCCTTTTTAACTTTTAAAATTTTGTTAACTATATTTCACCTAACTGATTATTATTTCATTTAAAAACCATTCAGTAATTATATAATATACAATATTGTTAATTGTTGAGCCTTTATTTATGAATATTCATTGTAAACATCTGTTATATACAGGTATCCTTATCTTTCATTTAATGGTAATAATATACGGACACCTGTGTCCAATAGTTATGATAAAGTTACATAGATACTTCAATGCTGTATATTCGCATACATATTTTAACATGTTATGTAGGTAAATAATAATAATATGTTAGTTTATAGGTTAAAAAAAATTATTTATATGGTAGAAAAAATGTGCTTTTTTGTCAATCTTTAAATTTATTATCATACAAAAAATATTTAGATAATTATATTGTTCCTAGAACTGTAACTTCAAATTATGTACATTTCATGTCTGAACACACCCCCAAAAAACAGTGTATACCAACAATTGTTTTTCAATTTCCTAGTGAGTTGAAGTGTCTTAAAGTTGAAGTGTTTATAAAATTAACTTTTCTTTAGGTTTAGTTTTATATTTGTTATTTTTAAAACAATTTTAGTCAATTTAGATTAAAGAGTTTGCAACAATTGTTGGGATCACTGGTGTCTTAAAATCTATTTGGATTAAGAATTTTAATCAACTATTTTAAAAAATAATTAATTCGTTCAATTTTTAACTACTATTTTTGTATTTAAAATGTTTTCAAAAATAAAAAATTAATAACCAATGATTTCAGTCTATCATAGAATTATTGGTAACATATCTTCTATTAATAATTCTGTGATACAAAAATCAAAATCCAAGAATAAATATTTAAAACTGTTTAACCATTATGTTAAAGATATAGTTCTTAATGTTAACTAAAGTTAGTGAAATCTGTTTTTAGTTTGATTGAAGGCTGGATTGATTTTGTTATACTTTGTGGTATATGACAACCAGAGTTAAACTGTTGTTGTGATTTAGTAGTTTTAATGGTATGTTCTAATTTTGTTTTCAATTTGTTGTTTTGAGACATGATTATTTTGAATTCCTGAAACAATAAAAAAAATAGTAGACAATTTAAAAAAAATGTTTATTCCAAATACTAATTAATATACCTGAGGA